TAGTTGATTGGCCAGCACTAAGGCTTGACAACATGTTTGGAGATGTGAATGCAGCCTATGAATGTGCTGTTCCTGTAAAAAGGACACTGTGCAAGCTCCATAAAGGCATATATATACTTATACTCTATCTGACATAATGGGAGAAATATAACTCAACATGTGGAATGGTCAAGCTTAGAATGTGATGCATTATCATTGAACATGTGAACATTGACAGAGTCTAAAAAAATTATATGGCAACCAGAAACATACTTGATGCATGGTTGGCAGTAGTGCAGCTTGAACAAGTAGGTGCAGTTTGTTTTTGATGAAGGTCCATTTAAATTTCACAGCAATGATAGTCCAGATCAGGGCATGACTCTCTAAGTGGATACTTCAAATAGCTTGCACATTGGGTATGGTACTCAAGTGTTGCAAGAGCTGCCACCACCACTAGTAGTATCAGGCACAAGGTATCTACCTCCTGAAACTCTCTTGAAAAAATGCCCTGACTATGCCAAGGGAGGATTACACACTCAATATGTGATATCAGGTTAGGTAGGTAGGTCAAGGCTTGACCTGTTAATATTTTTTTGGAGAGTGATGGCACCTATTCTAAAAATGGAAATTATTTGGCAAAAGCTTGCTATACAAAGTTGATTTTCAGGATTGCTCTTTGTTCTTCAGTAGCACTTAGCCTGGGCACTGAAACCTTAAGTCAGTAATGACAGTAAGTCCATGCATTTATGCTTACATATCAATGCCACTAATATCAATCAGTCAGAGATTGATGAATCAAACCTGATTGTTGATGCAGATAATCATGTACTGTGTCCTTACTGCAATACATGCATTAATGCTGGAAAGGGCAGCCTCCTGAGTTGGGAAAAGGTACACAAAGGCAGCAAGAAATGCGCTGAAAACTTGAAAAAATGGAATGCTACTCAAGTTGTCAACAAGTCAAGACTTAAGATCTCTGCTAGCGGAGTGTGTGTGTAGTTTTGTAATCACTGAGATTGAAAGGAGCAAAGCAATCCAGTGTAAATGTGATTCCTGCAAGACTCAATGGATAAGACTTCATGTTGGCCATGCTAAAGACATC